CAACTTTTGGATGGAAGTGCCGGGTAAGTTTGGTTTTGAATCTTTTATTTATGTATTTGGTGGTTCTGATTGTGATCACTGAATCCTAATTGTCGTCGAAAACTTAAGGAAATTTACATTTTTTATAGAATTTTAATAAATTAAATGTTTCAAAAGATTCTAGCTAGGTACGCCTGTTTTTACTTTTTGAAACTGACACCGTTTGAATAAAAAATTTTGTAGGAAGAAAAATCATTTGTGAGCTTTCATCGCCTCTCACTTTGTTATTGTAGTGGCAAGCGGTTTTAAGTACCACAATGACTCGGAGTGTTAACGGAAAAAGGTTTTTGTTGTTTTATTATTATTATTTGGGGATAAAGCACTGCGACCTAAATATCTATTGTGCCCACTTCATGGATTTATAGTCTGTCTATTAATGCAGTATCCGAGGGAAACTTTAGCATGGAATCTAAACCTACGGATTTCACTTCGCCCTCGGTTATAAAATGCTCACCCAGGACTGCCTTCTAAGATGTGCTTTGCAATCCCGATATCCGTCCTGGAAAGTCTTAATCGCTCCTGCGAGTAAATTCTCAGTGTACTCCGGTTAAAGTTCAGCCTGCAATGTCCTCTTGGGATTCCTGTAACAATTCTTAAGTTATTCTTGGATAAGCTCATGCATTCCTCAAAGCGTTTTAGGTTATATGTTCCTAAAAGTGCTTTGGACTGCTCTCGACCCAGTAGGGATTTCTTTCAGCCTCTTCCTCTTACCGGACCCGTGCAGATAGTGCCTCTTTTCCTAAGCCGCAGAAGGGCTCTGTGCCGATGAAAGGAGTTGATGCTTCCTTCTTCGCAAGTTCATCAGCAATCCCGTTTCCTTTAATACAAATGTATCCAGGAATTCAGAGAACTAAACTCGAGTATTCAGCCTATCAACGCAATGCTGGAGTGGCAGTCCTTTGCCAGATATAAATCTCGGTCGTTCTGCTTACGTAGACCCAACTCTCGAGGGATCGAATAATTCGATCCGAAAGCGCCTGTTGTTTCGGCGATCTAATCCATACGACCCTGCAGCAGCGTACCTCCGTAATCTACTTATTCGTTCTGGCCTGGAGTTCAAATCCGGAAACCCATTTCTTCTGATTTGGTTATCCAAGGAAACCTTATGGACCTATGTAGCTCTTCACTGCTTCGGTACATTCAGTACTGAAATGTAGAAAACCAGCAACAATGGGAGTCTTATTTCCCCATTCCTCGACTTTCCCCCGATACAGAAGACAGTTGAGGCCTTTCTACTCCCGCACTTTACGTTAAACCTGAGCGCAGCTGGACATCACTATGCCAACCGTGAAGCTCACAACCACACCGAAGCACTTAAGGCCATAGAGACCTAGATTACTCGTGCACTAGACGGAAATTGGCCGTTGTGGCACTGAAATGGTGAACGGCGAATTATTTGAATGGTCGACAGTGTTAATTCGAGATCTAATTTCTAGTTGCTTACTCGAATGTCCCTTAAAAATTGAGGCAGGAATGGTAGTAAAGGTGGCTCTCTTCGATGGATTGTTTACCATATTACTGATCGTTGGTAGCTCTGAATGAACGCTTCCTTGGGAGCCTATCTTCTGCAGCATAGCTATTTGCTCGGTAGCCCGACCGAAGTATCTTAAATTTCCACAGGATGCAATACTCTTGCCTCTTTATAATTGGGTTAAGCTGTTAAAAAACATTTGTCGGTGAGACAAACCTTTCGAGCCTGAATGTTTTAAACCCTATTTCATAAAAAATCAAGAAGAAGACTTTAACTGGTTTATAAATCGAAAATTTGTATTTTATTTTTATGAATAAGGTCATTAGAATATAAACTTTATGTAGATAAGCATTCGTCAGAAAGACAAAACTTTTTCTGCTCCCCCTAATCAGATGAACTGCCGTACTCATGACGATCAGCTTCATACATCAGCAACTTGAACGCCCATCTATATGGAATTCATACCCATATGTATATCCGGTGTATAAAGACATGAAACCTAAAAGTTCTGGATTTATGATCCACCGCCTTCAACTGAAATCCTGCACCTCTTTACTTTTGTTCGTAACCAGAAAAATAAGTTCCAAATAATTCAGTGAGAAGGAAGACCATGATATTTACATGTATTTATATAAAAAAAAAAATACTTATTGGATCAAAAAGTAGCTGGGTAGGCACTGTGGCCAATGGCAATCATCTATTACCACCTCTGCAAGGTTTTACGCCATGCCTAGTCCACAAACACTCCGAAATTATTCTCGGGAAGATACCACATATTAGGCTGAGCAAAGCATGTGTCATCAACTTATTACTTAAGAAAGTTTTGTTAAATGACACTTGAGAAGTGCATATGCAAGAACCTCCTAAATTTCATAAAGTTAATTTTTGCACACGCAGCAATGACCATAGAGGTTCTAGCATGCATTTAGGGGCTAGATTTTCGTAGTCGCCTAGACAAACACTACAGTCTTTATATCGACGGAGGTGCGTTAGATTGTACGCATCCAAATCTGATGGAAGTTGAATGCATGTATTTACTTAGATATTGTCTTCTGTAAAGCAGATTTTGATTGCCTTTAAATATCTGTCGGCTACCATAAGTTCGTTTATCGTTCGCTGAACACCACTAATCATTTACTTTCGATGATCTTTTTCACAGGTCTACTCGACTTTNCAAGTATTTTCAACCTTCTCCGTAACCGATTATGATCGCCGCAATGAAGATGTCGATCCCGTGGCCGCTTCAGCCGAATATGAGCTGGAGAAGCGTGTCGAGAAGATGCATGTCTTCCCGGTGGAATTAATGAAAGGTCCTGAAGGTTTAGGTTTGAGTATTATTGGCATGGGCGTTGGTGCCGATGCTGGACTCGAGAAATTGGGTATATTTGTGAAAACTATAACCGATAACGGTGCAGCAGCACGTGACGGACGCATTCAGGTGAGTTGAAATTTTCAAGTTTTGACACCGAAGGTGTGTACATTATGGCCAGCTCCCTGCGTCCACCTATGAATGTACATACGTCATCATCAATAACGTGACTGATGGACGTTCCAAATTTCACGAGGTGGACGTGCGGGAGCGCATTTGTACTTGCTTCAGTTAAAACTTTTAAATTTGCTCAGGTTAACGATCAAATCATCGAAGTGGATGGCAAAAGTTTAGTGGGCGTAACACAAGCGTATGCCGCATCGGTGTTACGCAATACATCTGGTCTAGTCAAATTTCAAATTGGACGTGAACGTGATCCGGAAAATTCTGAGGTGGCACAATTGATACGTTTGAGTTTGCAAGCGGATCGCGAAAAGGAGGAACGACTGAAAAGGTGAGAATGTCTTTTTTTATTTATTTGTAAAAGTAAAATTAATATTTGGTTATTATGCTATAGACAACAAGAAGAATATTTACGTCGCACACTCGACTACTCGGAGGACTCCACGCAGCCAGTTTCGGCTAATTCTAGTGTCTGCGAGGGACCCTCGAGTCCCGTACAAGTGGAGCATCCAATGGAGGTCGAGGCTACGCACTCACAGGAGGTAGAGTCTCTGAAGAG